ACCAGCTGTGTGACTATTGGCAACATTCTTAACATCCCTGAGCCTCAATTTCTTGATCTGCAAAATGGATGTAATGATGTGCCCCTCATGGAGTTGCAGTGAAGATCAGAGAAGTGGTGTATGTAGAAGTAAGTCCATCACAGCTTAGCTACTGTTTATTAATATTATGGTGGCTAATAGACTGTGAGCTCCTGGAGGGCAGACATATGTGAACATGAGAATTATTTCCTTTCCTCCCACCTGCAGAGGTTACCTAACAACTATCTAGTACAGAGATTAAGTATTTGCTGAACACTCTGATTCTGATTCTGATTTAGTTAGGGCCTGGGCCTTTCATTGCCTTTGAGCCATTTTAGAAGTCGGCAAACTGTAATAGCAATGCAACATAATTCTTGTCTATAGATATGCAGATAATTCCTGTTATAGGTTCAATTAATTCTCCTCCCTCCCTGTGTGGAAGAAGCCAGTTTTACCTCCTTTGGCACATTCGTGTCAATATTCCAGCTCTGTCTGTTTGTAGGACTGGTTGTCACCTCTTACTGGTTCCCTCATTAATGGTGAGTTAAAATCTTCAGCACATGCTCGTTTTATATCTGAATGAAAGTCATGATTTTACCTTTTTTTTGTAAAGTATCTTTTAACATTACTATTACTCCTTTAGCAAAATAATAAGTTTCTATAGAAGGCAGACACCACTTTTGAGTCTACTGCTCAGGGCCAGGCGCTGTCACAGGCGGACAGAGAAAAGCTTCCATGCTCCAAGCAGTCAGTGTTCAGATCCTGTGCCACAGCTGTCGGTGACACAGAGGAAGGCGCTTCTCTCTAAGCTTCAGTCTGCCCATCTATGAAACGGGCTCACAACCAGTACCTGGGCCCCGGGACCCGTCGCCTAGAACCCACTCCCTCACCCCTCTCTCTCCCCTTCTGCGCCCCCACCCCGGGAGGCGCGGGGAACTCAGAGGGCGGCTCCCTCCTGTGCAGGCGCCCAGGCTAACACGTTGGCCCCTCCGCCTGCGGGGTGTTTAGGCTCGGCGCTGCCCGCACGTTGCGGAGGGGGCCTCTGGAGGGGGCTGGTTCGCTCAAGCCAGAAAGCCGGGAGCCGCCCAGGAATTTTGGCTAGGACTGAGAGCATTTCCTCCTGGGCGGGCCCGGCGCGATCCTGGGGAGAGCAGCTGGGGGCAGACGCTGCGCTGCGCTCGGCTGGGCCGGCACCATGCGGTCCCTGCTCTGCGCGCTGGCCGGGCTCGCCCTGCTCCGCGCCGCGGGCGCCTTTGTCGGTGAGTGGGACCCGGGTGCCGGGTGAGGGCGAGGGCGAGGGTAGGGGAGAGCTGCGCCGAGCGAGGTAGGATGAGCAAGAGAGATGAAGGGAGGGAGGGTGGAGAGGGGGGAAGATGGAAACAGAGCCAGATGGAGAGAAAGCTGGAGAAAGAGATGCAGAGAGGGGGAGAGAGAGAGAGAAAGAGAAAACAGAAAAAGAAAGAGAAAAAGGCAGATGGGCAGAGAGAATTAGAGAGAAAGGAGAAAGAGAAGAATAAAGAGAGAAAGGGAGAGGCTGAGAGAAAGAGACTTTGGAAGTAAACAGATGGGTATGAACTATGAAGGAGGAAAGATAGAAAAAGGAGTTTGAGAAGCAAAAGGTACAACCAGGAAAGAAATAGAGGAACTAACCTGGCAAGAAAAAGAAGGGAAGGGGAGGAGAGAGAAGGAGGATATTGAGGAAAAGAGAAAGATTTGAGAGAGACTTAGAGTGGAGAAACCCGATGCCCAAGGAGAGAGAGGAAGGGACAAGGATCACAGGGTGGGAGGTCAAGTCTACAGGGTGGGGCAGCCCCCCAGGCCAGCTTCATCCAGAAGGCCTGCAGAGGCGTCCAGGCCTGGTTTTACTGGGCATTGCCGGGGAAGCTAAGCTTCCACAGTCGGATGACCCAGGCCTGGCCTAGCACAGCCAGCCAGTCAGGAACCAGGCAGGCGGGCCCAGGAGAAAGGACACTGGGTCACCTGCCAGGAGGCCTAGGGGGGTTCTGCTGTCTGGGGGAGGAGGCAAGTCTCCAGGCTTCCGGAGAGCTTCCCTGAGCCCCTGAGTTGCCTTGGGTGGGTGGGTGGGAACAGGGTACAGGAGAGAGAGGTCCTCTGGGTGCTCCCCTGGCTGGGATCCTTGCCTTGCACTCTCTTCCCTCCCTTCTGCTGACAGCAGTCTTAGTGCTGCCCCTTCACAGGTGAGGCTCAGACAGGATGGCTGCAGATGTACTTACGGTACACACAAGTGCTCATTCCACCCCCACCCCCAAGACTCTGCACAGCACTTTAGAGTTTACAAGCCACATTCCCATTTACCCAGCATCTCGTGCAGGCCCCAGCCAGAGACCACTGGTGCTCATCCCAACTGTGCAGGCGAGAGGAAGGCTGAGGTCTCCCCAAGCATCCAGGCCTTCTGCCCTCTCAGTCAGCCCCTTGCCCCCAGCCAGGCTGCCCCTCATCAACCTGGAGTCACCCAGCTGAAGTGTCTATGTTAAGATGGAGCCCCCCTCACCTGTGCCCAGTCCCTTTTGGGGCACAGTGAACTGTGGGAGTAAGCTCTCAGGGAAAGGATTGAGGCCAGTGCTGAGCGACCTTGGATGTCACTTCACTTCTCGGAGGCTGTTTCGTCCTCTGTAAGTTGGGGAGAATAATACTCACCCCACAGGGCTGACTTCAAGGATTGGATGAGAAGGAAAGGGCCCAGCATGGAACACGTCTCAACACATAGCCTCCTTCTCTTGTCCCCTCAGACAGCTCCACTGATCTCTCTGACTCTCAGTTTCTCCACGTGTTAGGGAGGACCAACAACCACTTCCTCACAGCCTGTGAAGAGTAGCTGGGATGATGCCCAGCACAGATCCAGGCCCATAGAGCATGAGCTTCCCTTTTGCTCCCTCTCCCTTACCCTCCTCCTGGAGTCCCCAGCTCCAGGAGCTGAGGGGACAAAGCTTCATCTGTGCTCCCCTAGAGGGAGGAGCTGGCTGCTACCCACAAGTGGCTCTTCGTGGCCCCTTGGCCACAGATGGTATATACACTTTAATTTAAAACTGTTTTTAAACATTTTCTTTCTGATTATGCTTGCTCATTGCTACACATTAAGAAAAAAAAGAGGAAGTATAAACATACTAATGTAATTTCACATTGAGGTCACACATTTTTGTGTATAACCTTTCAGACTTCAGATAATATACCGTTGTTTTTCTTAAATTTTGATTATGAAATCTTTTGGATAGAAGAGCAGAATAGTATAATGAAGCCCCATGTACCTATCACCCCTCTTCAAAAAGGGTCTATTCATCTACAATTCCCACCCTCCCTCCTCTCCCTCAGATTGTTTTAGAGGAAATTCCAGGCATCATATATTTTCATCTATAAATATTTCCTTATGTATCTCTAAAAGATAAATAATCTTTTAATAAGCATAACTGCAGTACCATTATCACACCCTAAAAATGAACAATAATTCCTTAGCATTATCAAATGTGCAATCAGAGTTCAAGTATCCCTAATTGTGTCATATGTTTTTATATTTGGTTTGTTTGATCCAAATAAGGTGCGTGCATTGCTTTTGTTTGATATGTCTAAGTTTCTTTTAATATGTAAGTTCTCTTTTCCCCTTTTTTTAAAAAAATTTATTTGTTGAAGAAACTGGGTAATTTGTCCTGTAAAGTTTTCCACAATTAGATTTGAGCTGATTACATCCCCTAGGTGACATTTAAATGTTCTTCTCTCCCCTGTATTGCTTATAGATCTAGAAGCTTGATCTAATTCCAGTTAGATTTTTTTTTTTTGCAAGAATGGTCTTTATTGCTTTAATTCGCATTTCTTTGATTATTCCTTAAGTTAGACTTTTCCTTCAAATGCATATTGGTCATTTCTACTAATCTGTGCAAATTGTCTTAGACATTTTAATTTTGGTATTGGGATTTTTCATATTGATTTGCAAAAGCTCTTTATGTATTGCATGAAGCAAACTGTTTTGTGTTACTTGTACAGACTTTTTTTTAAGTTAAGGCTTCAGCTAAGTCCCTTTCCTATTTTGCTGTCAGAGGGATCTGAAGGCCTAGAGCCTGGTCCTTTTAACCAGTGTAACCATTCTCACCCATGCCTTGGGGCCCATCAGGGAAGCTCTCACTGTCCACTGCTGCTGCAAGTCCCCGTGGACGTCTGTCCTGTATTGGAATTCTGCTTTTTACTTTGGGTGAAAGGGGAAGATGCTGAAGGGCTGTGGTGAGGATCACAGCATTTCTGTTTACAAAAATGGATGTTGTGGGGAATGAACCACCCAAAGATAATTTGACCCAAGGCACACTATTTGGGTTCTTATAGGGCCTCCAGACAGCTGCAAAGGTGTCATGTGTGCAGGTCCCCTTTGCCCATACCTGTCCAGATCCTTATTTACAGAGCAGGCAGCTGAGACCCCAAGATGGGAAGCCCTTAACTTATACAAGTTCACATGATTGCCAGGACACAGTATAGACAGTGTCTAGCAGGTATATTTAAATTCTGTCCCCACCACCTCCTACCTGTGAAATCTTGGGCATGTTACTCAAAGATCATGTGAGATCTTTGGTTTTCTAATCTGTAAAAAAGGAGGTACTGAGCTCACGGATCAAATTAAATGAGATCATGTCAGCACGCAACAAAAAGCCTAGCATGTAATTAGTGATCACAAATCAAAAGTAACTTTGAATATAGAGGATGGTTATGCCTATTCTCAAGGTGAAGAAACCAAGGATCCAGCAAGTGGGATTGGCTTGTAACAGAGCCCAGAAAGCCAGGTCAGCACTCAGCCCTTTGTGCACTTGTTGCAGGAGCCCCTGCCAAGCATCCCTTGGATCCCTGCATGGGATTAGTCCTAGAGCAGACACTTCCCCATCTTGGGGAGACCTGATCACAGTGATCTAGCAAGGAGCACTGGCTCCATGTGGAGAGTCGGCGCCCTTGGGGGCTTTCACTGCCTTGCTCAGTCTTCAGCTCACCTGGTAAATGCTTTCCATGGTGTTTGCACATCACTTGGCAATTCCAAGGCATCTTCAAGGGTAGGATCCCCTTTGATCAGCACAGCAGTCCCTCAAGGTAGACAGGGCAGAGCAGGTCCCTCACAGACGAGGAAGCTGAGTGAGAGGCAGAGAGCACAGTCAGTAAGCAGTGGAGTTGGGACTGCGTCTCCCACTCCCAGTCTTGTGTTCTTTCACAGCACGTGGAGAGAGGTTTATCCTGGATGGCTGTTTAGACCTTCTCAGTATTGTGGAATTTTGGAGTGTTCTAGTAGTACATTTTAACCCAGTGGATTAAAAAAACAGTATTCCAAGATAGAAGGAATCTGGATTCTATACAGACTCAAGGAGCTGCCTGCCAGCCCTGACCACCAGCCAGTCTACCTCTGAACCAATACATGAGAAAGAAATAAAAAACGTCTGTAATCGAGGGGAGTTCTTTGTACAACTGTCTGGTTTGTATCCTAAGAAAAATACTAACTTAACCAGATACTGAATGTATTGGAAGGACATTGGTAAGCTCTCAGACTGGTCAGCTGGGCTCAAATCCACATCTGGAAAATGACGCGAGACTGAGGGAGATAGGACTTGTCTCTAACAGAATGGAACAAAACGAAACAAAAATGTGCCTCAGAATCTGAGCTCTCTCTTTGGGGGCTCGAGGGTCTCTCTCCTGTTTCAGCCAGAGCATTTCCACAGATTGGAGTTCTTCATATAATTGTTTAAAAATAGTATTCTTCTAGTTAAAAAAACAAAAAACAACAACAAAAAAAACACTGATAGTTTTGAATAAATCATAAATTTTAATACAAATATTGAATGTGGTAAAGTTTATTATTCTCTTATATTGAATGTGGTCAAATATAATTAACCCCAAAGTGACAATTGTTCCTGGTGGAATAGATTATGTCTTTGATGATTCAGGAGGCACAGCAGCACGCCTCAGGGTCACCACCGAGAAAGTATTTGTCATCATCCAGCATGGCAGAAATCATTTGAGTTGTAGGCACCTTCTTAGTGTTTGGGTCCCAAATACAAAAGGTCTTCTATGCCTATGAGTGGGAGGGGGCCGTACTTCCCACCTCTGAGGACCAGGACGCAGTGGCTATGTCTCTTTAACTAGAGAAGTTATCCCAGCACCTCCACCTGGGCCTCTGGGCTCTAGCACCTCTGCCTGGGCCTCTGGCTTCCACCAGCAGCCTGCTCTCCCTAGTGCACAATGTTCCACCCATGGCTGCCATCCAGGGTGCACACAGGCCCTGAACTGGAGGCAGGCCAGGGAAAACAACCCAGCATCCAAGAAAGTCCATTTCCCAACTGGCCAGGGCACGGAGGGTGGGAGCAAAGGAAGGAAGGAACACAGAAACCACAGCTTTGGCTGCTCAAGGGTGGTCATGGTAATCCTTCAGCTTTCCCCACTCCTACTATTGTTTGAGCTTTCCAAAAGTCCCGTAAAGCAGGCATTATTGTGTGTGTGTGTGTGTGTGTGTGTGTGTGTGTGACACCCAGGTCTTGCCTTGCTGGAGCTTCTGGCCTAAGAAGAAACTTTTCTTTGACTCATCCCAGTTCTGTCCTTGTAGCTAATTTTTGAGGCCTCTCAGTAGGCTTTGAAAGATAGCAGAATCGTGAACTACATGTGGGTGGCAGTGTCTCGAGCCTACCCCACCCTGTATTACAGAGGAGGCAGCAGAGCCTCAGGGAGAAGGAAGTTTCCACAGGCCTCCACCAATTAGTGGCCAAGCCAGGCTGAGAACAGTGTCTCCAGTGTATTTTCTGCCGTCATGAGTTGAGGTCAATGCCATGAGGATATGTGTAGGGGAGGGAGCAGCAGTGCAGGATGGTTGTGGGGTCCCTGGTCCTGCCCCCAGCTTTCTCTCTCAGATGAGCTTGTCAGGAGGACTGGATGAGCTCATGGACAGTTGTGCAGTGGAGCGCAGGGCACAGTTCTGTCCAGATGTAAAGGATTAGTGCTGTGTGATGTGGAGCGCAACCTCAGCCCAGACTTTTCCCTGGAGGGGTTTTGGAGCCAAGTTAGACCTCATCGAAGAATGTAGAGAACAGGATGTTTTGGGCCAATGGAGAGGAGCAGATTCATGTCATTCGTGACTTACAAAGCTGGCAGATCCCCACTTGGCCGGCAAGGTCACATTGCTTGCTCTTGGCCTAAGCTGGGGGAGCTTTGAGGGGAAAAGCGTAGTTTAGAGAGGGTAGTGAGGCTCAGGGGAAAAGTTTGGCCAAAGGCCCCTGGGCGGAGCCTGCAAAGGGTATGTGTGAACACAGATCCATGTTGAGACAGACCCCCATCTTCTCAGACAGCCCTCCCTGTGAGTGAGAACAACTCTTCCTGCCTTCTCCATCTTTCCTCTCCAGGCTGAGCACCCCTGTTCTTTCAGCTGAGAGAAATGAGTCAAAATTTGGAGTCCCTTCGCCATGGCACCTCTACACCTGCTCCTGTCTGTCAAAGGCCTTCTCACAATGTATGGCCCAGAATGGAGCATAGCCCTCCAAGTGGGGTCTCTCAGATCACCACCCTCCCTTGTCCTGAACATTTTATATCAATGCATGCAGCCCATGATGACTTCTGCTTTTTGCTAACAATCCTATCAGACAACTGGCTTTTGTTATAGATATTTCAAACCATATATACAAAGATAGAGAGAATAATGATTCCATGTCCCCCATTACCCAATTTTAACAATTACCAATCTTGGCCAATCTTATTTGCTCTATGTACCTACCCATGCCTCCTCCCACTCCCAGGCCTGGATTATTTTGAAGTAAATCCAGGACATCATAGCGTTTCATCTGTAAATATTTTAGTATAGATCTCTAAAAGACTCCCTTTTAAAAAAAAAACCAAAGTGCCATTATAATGTCCCCTTCCTTCCCCAAAGTCAACAAGAAGCCCATTGTCTTTTGAAGAGGCTTTTCTAAGTTCAGTGGAGGGAAATAATGAAAAGGAGAATGTAAAAAAACAAATTGTTCTCCACAAAAGATGCTTAGAGTGGAAGGAAGTTTTGTCCCTGCTCTTGGTTCTCACCCCTGAGTGGAAGAGCTAGGATCTAGAGAATCGCAGGGCAGGGGGACTCTGGCAGAGTTCCAGAAGGCCAGATTGCTCAAGTGAAGTCAGGAGAAGGCCAGGGTGCTTGGGGTCCAGTCATTTACTGATTGTGTGACCTTGGGCAAGTTACTCAACCTCTCAGAGTGACACATCATCACCAGCAAAATGGATCACCATCTCTGTCCTTACCTTAAGACCTGCCACCCTTCTGGGCAACTTTATATGTCACTTTGAGCAAACCAACCAATACCAAGGCCTTACAGTTACAAGAATTTTGCATCTAGAAAGATTGAACCCAATAAGTCTTACCTCCATTCTGCTTCAGATGTCCGCATCCATGGCTACAATCTTGATACTGTCACTATGAGGTTGCTCCATCTCGAAAAGCTAAAACTGCAGTATCCATTACCACTGTTCCTTCTGTTACCTCCATCATCTCATCACTTCTCCCAACTTAGTGGCCCTCCAATTGGCCTCCTTTCCTTCCTTATCCAAGCTAAGCTCCAGAGCTCATCCCCTTAAACCATTGCTGGTCAAATCAATGCTTTTGTGCTCTTACCCTCCACCACACTCATCCTGCAGACTCTCAGGTTTTAGCTCCATCCAGCCATCTGTCTTTGCTGCTCTACACCCAGCCTGCCAAGCTGCTAGGGGAGGAATAGCACTTCCAAAGTTCCTCACTGATGTCAGGTCATCCCGCACAGTCCTATACTGCCTCCTGTTCCCTTCATCCCCTTTTGGAGCCATCTCTTTATTCAAGCCCCCAACCCAGTGGTGTGCTGATAAACTGGCTCTGAAAAAAAAGAAAAAGACACTTGCCAGTTTTTATGGTGTAAATGCTCTCACCAAGACTCCCATTTTAGTGGCTGTATTTAACAACCCACGCACAGAATTTCTGAAAATTTAACAACTAGCTCTCCTCCTTCCTAACTCTCCATGAATTTTCAGCAGATGAAGCCCCTCTTACTTTACAGAGTGAATAGAGGCCATCAGGTGGGAAGTCACTCAACTTTTTGGACCTTAGAGATCTTGGAGCAGAACTTTTTTACCCAGTTTTGCTGCATTCTCTCTCTCTTCCTTCCATGTTTTTCCTATACCCCCACCATCATTTCTGGATTCCTTGGCCTCTCATCCCTTCAGGAAATGCATTCCTTCAGTTCTCCAGTCTTCTTCCTGTTCCTCAGGCTATAAGCATGGTTGTGTTTCTTCACTGCTTAAAAAACCAGAAATGACAACAATAAACACTTGTGTGGACCTTGTGATGTGATCTCCCTTGTTTCACAGCCAAGCTTCATGAAAACATTTTCCTTCTCATCCCACTGCAGTCTAAACTTTGCTTTCTTCCACAACTCCACTAAAAGTGCTGGGGTAGAATTTAGCAGTGACTTTGCTGTTGCTATGTTTTTTGGTCCTTATCTTTCTAGACCTCCCTGCTGCTTTAGGCCGCGTTGGCTGCTTCATCCTCTGTAAAGCTCTTTGCTTCTCTTTGTTTCTGAGACAGCATCCTCCTTCCAAGATTCTTGGAGGTTCTTCAAGGTTCCAGCCAACTCTGATGCCCTGCCAGCATCTCAGAGCCACCAACTCTGAAACCTGAGTTCGGGACCAGGGCTCTAAGACTTCTGGTGTGAGGGTTGGTGGTGCCAGGAAGAACCAGGGAAGAACCAACGTAGGGAGAAAAATGATGAGTCAAGAGTTGAACAGGTTGAACTTCAGATTCTCTGCTTACCAGCTGTGTGACTTTGGACGTATCATTTCATCCCTCTGTGAATCGATTTCCTTACATGTAAATTGGGGATAATAATAGGCTGTTGTAGAGGTTGACTGAGTTAACACATTTGTTTAGCCCACTATGTGGTACATAGTAAGCACTCATCAAATGTCGATAGTGCTAACTGGTCACCAATGTCAATGCTACTACTAGAATATTTCCTTACTCTCTATTCCTCCTGCTACTGCTTCCTTTCGTCACTTCTTACTTTATTACTGCAGTAACTTTCCTTCTTCAAAGACAAATCCCTCCAATTCACTCCCTGTATTTTAAAAACTCTTATATGACTATGTCACTCTTCTGTTAAAATAACCCCCAAAACAAGCATCATGATTGGTTTATTAGGGCCTCTGGCTTCATTTCTAAGACCCACCTCTCCAGTCTCATCTCCCACCCACCCTGTACTTTGCAGCCACTCCAAACTCCCTGAGGGTTTATACACTGAGCCATGCTATTTCATGCCTCCCTATCTTTGCACATGCCATTCTCCCTGGCTGAGACCTTTCCTCCCTTCCTTACCTTACCCAGTTCAGGCAGCAGCTCCTTGAGGAAGCCCACCTGGGTCTCCAGGTGACCATGGCCATAGAGATAAGGGAGTGATTAGGGGAGCCCCACACTCACACCCTGACCCACACTGAGCCTTCCTTTGCTTCTCTTTGTGATGTTTTCAGGACCCACCTCACTTGAGCCCAGTGCTTTACAGGAGTCTCCAGTGTTACAGGGAAACTGAGGGCCCCACAGTGACAAGACTTGTTTTCCCACAGCTGCGGAACCCCTCATCCCCTCCCACGGAGACCTAGCTCGGAGCCCCAGGTGTGACAGACACCTGGCTGTCCACAGCCGTTTACACGTCATAGAGGAGGTAATAAGGGTGACCGGGGAGGACATGCAGCTTTAGGACCACCTGCCAGGCTGCAGGCTTTATAGGGCTGAGGCCAACCTTCCTTTGGAAAATCGGGGAAATCTAGGCCAATCCTGCTTTCTGGCCACCATGTTAACCATCTCCCTGCCCTACCTCGGTTGTTAAGCTGACCAGCCACCAACAGAGCTGCCTCTTCTGGGGCTCTTGCTCATACCAAGCCAGAGATCTCCACACAATTACTGGAGAAGTGGAAATTCATTCCCTTAGTGTTGTTATATAGCCACGGTTTGTAACCTGTGGTCCCCAAACTTGTGCGGGTGAAAATTCCAGTTTATTTCATAAAACTTTAACTGAAATTTAGCATTCCCATTCATTCTAAATGCAGACAACAAACTGTAGTAGTAATTACAGCACCGTGACTTTGTCATTGATAGAAATCAGGTAATTTCTTCCAATTATAGTTTTTATGAATATCTCAACATATCATTCATTCTCATAAGTATGTCAAAATTATGGTGGCTGTTAGATCTGATGCTAGATCATGTTATGTAGTGAGTTAAATTTTTTACCTCAAAAATTTAATTTTGGGATAAAAACTAGACTACTGGTGGTGAACACGATAGTCTATACAGAAACTGAAATATCATAATGTACACCTGAAAGTTACACAATTACAAGCCACTATGACCTCAATAAAATAACTTTTAAATATTTTAACTTTTAATATTTGAATAATACTTTGATGCAATGGCTGTTCTTATAAATCCTATATTTTATTTTTTCAGTTAAAGCATTTTCTGAGAAGGGGTCTGTAGGTTTCATCAGACTGCTAATGGGGTTCATTCACAAAAAAAGTTAAGAACCCCGAATAAAGAAAATTTCCAAATCCCAAACCTGTCATTTGGCAGGGTTGCCACCTGGGGGCAGGGCAACAAAAGGAATGTTAGCTCGCAGTGACAAAGTCCTGAAAGGGAAAAGGGGATCTCAGACTCCCTCCAGGCCAAACCTGTAAAACTGCAGAGTGCCAGAGTGACCTTAGAGAGAGAGCTCCTAGGATTTTTGTCATCGGGGGAACTGGAAGGTAGGTAGGGGCAAAACCTGAATGAGGAGGTCCCAGGTTGCCTGTCACTCAGTTCTGTCCCCACTGCACCCCAGTGGTCCTCCAGGTGCTCCTTAGGATGGGGCTGATTAAGCGGGACTTGGCACCACTCTTGTCCTCCACTCACCCTGCCCCTCCCCCACCCCCACCCGGCTCCCATCTCTCCTTGCTCTAGATGGTGGAGAAGACGGTGGAGCACCTGGAGGCAGAAGTGAAAGGCCTGCTGGGTCAGCTGGAGGAGCTGGCCTGGAACCTGCCCCCAGGACCCTTCAACCTGACCCCTGACCTCTTTGGAGAGGGTGAGCAGCTCAGGTAGCAGAGACTATAGCGTCTGGGGCTGGGCAAGCAGGATAGGGATGGCTGATCCACCACACAGGTGTAGCCCTGACAAGCTAGGAGCGGCTCCAGCTCCACCTGGGACAGAAGTGGGAAAGCATCCACCTCACCTCACCCTAAGTGTTCTCTGCCCCTACCCCCACCCTGGAGGTTGCCACAGCCACAGCTCGGGGCTCCTGGAAGAGCTGGCCCCATTCACCTGAGGGCCACTCTCAGCATCACCCTGACACAGAGCAGCTGTGTCCTCTGCTGGCCCTTTTCATGCCTCAAACCTCCTTGGCTCCTTTCATCTCCCTTCCAAGGAACCAATTCTGTGGCAGCATAACACCCTCTCAGGGAAGACTGGCATCCTCTGATCAGGCAGTGGAGGGATTGCCACCCTGCTCCCTCCTGGAGCCCTGTGTTTCCTGGAACAGGAGTTCCCTGGGGACTGGGAGGGGCAGTAAGGAAGCCTTCAGCACCCTCTGCTTGCCCACTCCAAGGCTACTCCCTTTCTTTCAGATCCCTCCTGGGCACGGGAGGCGGAGGAGCCCGGCAGCTGATGTGATGTACCTGTCAGACAGCTTTCCTCTGAGAACAGAGCCGTGCATTCTGGCCTTCCTTCCTCAGCTTTGTACACAATAAAAGCTACTTCTTTGGTCCCCTCTGTGTCTCTGTCAGTGACCTCTATAGCTACAGCCCCTTCTCCATCTACTTTCATGCCCTTAGGCCCACATTCACCTGCAGGCTCAGACCTGGGAGCCCCTGGTGAGTCTGTGCTTCTGCTCTCCTTATTTATAGGAGCTGATGGGGCACAGAGATAAGGCCAAGAATCCTACGGTGACACAGGATAAGGGCCCTTTGAGTAGCCTTCCTGCTCAAAACATGGCCACAGATGAACAGCAGCGGCATCACCTGGGAGCTTATCAGAAATGCAGAATTCGGGACACACCTTGGCCTCCTGAATCAAAATCTACTTTTTAATGAGATCCCCAGAGGATTCATGGGCACATTAAAGTTTTTTTAAAAAAATTTCTATGTAAAATTCACATAATATAAAATCCAAAATTTTAACCATTTTAAACTACAAATTCAGTCACTTCAAAATGTTGTGCAATCACTACTCTCTAATTCCAGAACATTATCATCATCCCCAAAAGAAACCCTGTACCTATTAAGCAGGTATTTCCCATTCCCTCTCCCACCATCCTTTGGAAACCAGTAGTATTTCTGTCTCTATGGACTTGCCTATTCTGGACATTTCATATAAATTGAATTATACAATATGTGGTCTTTTGTGTCTGACTCTTTTTTCACTTAGCGTAGAGTTTTCAAGGTTCTCTCATGTTGTAATGTGTATCAGTACTCTGTTCCCTTTTATGGCTGAATGATATTCCATTGTATAGATGAACCACATTTTATTCACCTATTCAATTGATGGACATTTGAGTTGTTTGCACTTTTTGGATATTATGAATAATACTGCTATGAACATTTGCATATAAGCTTTTGTGTGGATATACGTTTTCATTTCTCTTGGGTCTATAACTAGGGCTGGAATTGCTGAGTCAACTGATAACTGTGTCTAAGTTTTGGAGGAACCACCAGACTGTTTTTGCACAGCAGCTGTACCACTTTACAGTCCCACCAGCAATGAACACACAGGGTTTCAGTTTTTCCACATCCTCACCAACATCAGTCTTTTTGATTATAGCCATCATACTAGGTGTGAAGTCATATCTCATTGTGGCTTTAAGTTGCATTTACCTAATGACTAGCGATGCTGAGCATCTTTTCATGTGTTTGTTGGCCATTTGTATATATTTGTTGGAGAAATGTCTGTTCAAGTCTTTTGCCCATTTTTAAAATTGGGTTCTTTTTCTTGGTGAATTGTAAGAGTTCTTTATGTATCATGGATACTAGGCTTCTATCAGAGGATTTGCAAATATTTTCTCTCATTCTGTGGGTTGTGTCTTTACTTTCTTGATAATGTCTTTTGAAACACAGAAGTTTTAATTTTGATGAAGTCCTTTGATGAAGAATTTATCTATTTTTTGTTGTTGCTTGTGCTTTTGGTAGCATATCTAAGAATCCATTGCCAAATCCAAGGTGATAACTATTCCTATGTTTTCTTCTAAGATTTTACTAGTTTTAGCTCTTACATTTAGTTCTTTGATCTATTTTGAGTTAATTTTTGTATATGATGTGAGGTAAGGATCCAACTTTATCCCTTAGTTTGTGGAGATCCAGCTGTCCCTGCACTATTTGTTGAAGAGAAAATTATTTCCCAATTGAATGGTCCTGGCACCCTTGTCAAAAGTCAGTTGAGCATAGATGTTTAGGTTTACTTCTCAATTTTATCCCATGGGTCTATATGTCTATCTGTATGCCAGTATCACAGTTTGAATTACTGTAGCTTTGTTTGTAGTTTTGAAGTAAAGAAGTATGGGTTCCCTGACTTTTTTGTCTTTTTCTAAGACTCTTTTGGCTATTTGGGGACCAGTCCCTTGCAATTCCATGTGAATTTTAGAATCAGCTTGTCTATACCTGCAAAAAGACAGTTGGAATTTTGATAGGGACTGGATTGAATCTGCAGATCAATTTGCAGAGTACTGCCATCTCAACAATACTAAGTCTTCCAATCCATGAGCAGAAGGTATTTTGTATTTTTCAGTGTATAGGTCTTACACCACCTTGGTTAAATTTATCCTTAAGTATTTTATTCTTTTTGATATTATTATAAATGGGATTGTTTTCTTAATTTCATTTTCAGATTGTTCATTGCTAGTGTATAAATATACAACTGATTTTTGTATGTTGATCATGTATCCCCTCCTGCAACTCTGCTGAATTCATTTATTAGCTCTAATAGTTTTTGTGTGGATATTTTAGAATTTTCTATATGTAAGATAATGTCATCTGTGAATAGAAAGAGTTTTAATCCTTACTTTCCAAGTTGAATGCTTTTCTTTCTTTTTCTTTCCTAACTGCCCTGGCTAGAACTTCCAATACAATGTTGAATAGCAGTGGCAAGAGCAGACATCTTTGTCTTGTTCCTGATACTGGGGGAAAGCTTTCATCCTTCCCCATTAAGTATGTCAGCTGTGGCGTTTCATAGATGCCCTTTATTTCAGATTGATAAATTTCCCTTCTAAATTTCTTAGGAATTTTTTTTTTTTAATCATGGAAGAGAGTTGGGCTTTCTCAAATGCTTTTTCTGCATCAATTGAGATGATTATTAGGTTTTTATCCCCCTTTATTCAATTAATAGTGTGTATTATAGTGATTGATTTTCATGTATCAAATAATCCTTGTATTCCTTTGATAAATCCCACTTGATCATGGTGAATAATCCTTTTAACATGCTGCTAGATTCAGTTTGCTAGTATTTCACTGGGGATTTTTGCACTTTTTTCGTGATGTCTTTGTCTGGCTTTGGTATCAAGGTAACACTGGTGTCATAAAATGAGTTAGGAAATGTTCTTCCTCAATTTGGGGGGAAGCGTTTAAGGATTGGTGTTACTTCTTTAAATGTTTGATAGATTCACCAGTGAAGCCTTCTGGTACGGGTTTTTCTTTGTTGAGAATTTTTTGATTATTGATGTAATCTTATTATAGGTCTATTGAGATTTTCTATTTCTTCTTGAGTCAGATGTGGGAATTTGTGTTTCTAGGAATTTTCCCATTTCATCTGGGTTATCTAATATGTTGGCTACAATTGTTAACAGTATTTTCTTATAATCTTTTATTTCCAGAAGATTGTTAGTAATGCCCCCACTTTCATTTCTGATTTTAGTAATTGAGTCTCCTCCATCTCTCCGTCTTCCTGTCAATCTAGCTAAAGGTTTGTCAATTTTGTTGATCTTTTTCAAAGAACCATTTTCTTGTTTTATTGATTCTATTGTTTTTCTATTCTCTATTTTGTTTATCTGCCCTCTAATCTTTATTTTCCTTCCTTCTTGTTGCTTTGAGTTTAGTTTGTTCTTCTTTTTCTAATTCCTTAAAGTGGAAGCTTAGGTTATTGATTTGAGATTTTCTTTCTTTTTCGATGTAGGCATTTACAGCTATAAATTTCCTTCTGAGCACTGTTTTCACTGCATCCCATGTTTTAGTATGTTGTACTTCCATTTTCATTAATCTCAAAGTATTTTCTAATTTCTCTTGTGCTATCTTCTTTAACCCATTGGATTCTGTGTTTTGGTTTTTTTTAAGTATGTTGTTTACTTTCCACATATCTGTAGAATTTCCAGATTTCCTCCTGTTACCCATTTCTAATTCCATTGTGGTAATAGAAAATACAGTGTATGGTTTCAGTCTTCTAAAATCTATTTAGATTGTTTTGTGGTCTATCTGGAGAATTTTCCTTGTGCACTTGAGAAGAATGTGTATTGCTGTTGTTGGGTAGACTGTTCCATAGACGTCTCTCACGCCTAGTCGGTTTACAGTGTTGTTCAAGTTCTTTCCTTGTTTATCTTTTGTTTAATTGTTCTATCCAATAGGGAAAGTGGGGTGTTGAAGTCTCCATTTTTGTTGAACTTTTTCTCCCTTCAATTCTGTCAGCTTTTGTTTGAAACTTTCTGGGGCTTTAGGTGTATATGTTTTTAATTGTTATATCTTGATGGATTAACCCTTTTATCAGGATATAATGTCCTTTGCCTCTCAATCTCTGCCTGTTAATTGGAGAGTTTATTCCACTTATATTTAAGGTAATTACTAATAAGTAAAGACTTGTACTGTTTTGCAATTTGTTTTCTATGTCATTTATTTCTATAAATAAATTCCTCCATTATTGCCATATTTTGTGTTAGATAGATGTTTTCAAGTATACTGTTTTGATTCCCTTGTTTCTTTTACTGTTTTATTTTCTGGGATTATAGTAACACCTTAATTTATAACAATCCAATTTGAATTAATAGGATGCTTCAACAGTATATAAAAACGTTTTTCCTATATAGCTCCATCATTGGCCTTTATGTTGTTATTGTCACAAATTATATCTTTATACATTTTGTGCTTATCAACATAGAGTTACAATTATTGTTTGGTGTAGTTGTCTTTTATCAAATAGGAAAAAGAGCTACAAACCAAAAAACACACTAATATTGATGTTTATATTTACCTATGTAATTATCTTTACCAATGCTTTTTACTTCTTCCTCTGTATTTGAGTTACTGTACAGTATCCTTTCATTTCAGCTTGAAGGACTTTCTTTAGCATTTCTCATAGGGCAGGTCTACTAGCAACAAACCATCTCAGCTTTTGTTCACTGAGGAATACCTCAATTTCTCCTTCATTTTTGAAGACTATTTTGCCAGATATAGGATCCTTGGTTGACTTTTTTTTCTTTCAGCACACTGAATACACCACCCCACTGCCTTCTGGCCTCCATGGTTTCTGACAAGAAATCAAATGTTATAATCTTATAGAAGGTCCAGTGAATGTGATGAGTTGGTTCTCTATTGCTGCTTTCAGGATTCCCTCTTTATCTTTTGACCGTTCGGTTATAATGTGTCTCGGTGTGGATCTTTTTATATTATAGTTCACTGAGCTTCTTGGATGTCTAGATTAATGTCTTTCATCAAATTTGATAAGTTTTCAGCCATTGTTTCTTCATATAATTCTACTTTCTCTCTTCTCTCCTGTGACTCCTATCATGCATATGTTGGTACAGTTGATGGTGCCTGACAGGTCTCCTAGGCTCCGTTAATTTTTATTTTTTCTTTTTGCTCCTCAGAATGGGAAATTTCAATTGACCTATTTTGAAGTTTGCCAGTTCGTTCTTCTGCCTTCTCAAATCCACTCTTAAACCCCTCCAGTGAATTTTTCATTTGTTATTGTACTTTTCAACTCCAGGATTTCGATTTGGTTCCTTTTCTAATTTCTCTTTATTGATATTCTCTATTTGATGAGACATCACTCTCCTGGTTTCCTTTAGTTCTTTGAGCTTTTTAAAGACAGTTGATTTAAAGTCTTTGTTTGGTAACTCCAATATCTGATCTTTCCTCAGTTTGTATTAACAGATTTCTTGTTTTCCTGTGTATGGATCAAACTTCCTTCTTTGCATGGTTCATAACTTTTGTTGAAAACTGGGCATTTTGACATTATAATGTGACAACTCCAGAAATCAGATTCTTCCCTTCCCCAGAATTTGTTGTAGTTTTAGTGACTTCTAAAGTTGGTATTCTTTGTTAAGGGTGGCCATTGAAGTCTCTGTTCAGTTAGGTAAGTGGTCACTAATGATTCAACAAATTTCCTTAAACTCCTGGAACCAAAAAACCCCCCAAAAATCTCTTTGGTCTTTGCAGATGTGTTGTGTGTGTTGGGCACATCTACTGACAATGAGCCAGGCAGCCTGTGACTCTGCCTTAACTTCCTGTTTGTGCAGAACCTGAAGGTCAGCCAGAGGCAAGAGCTTAGGGCTTTCTCAAGGCTTTTCTGAAAAGCATCCACCCAGCCCTGAACATGTGTGTGAGAACCAGGACCAGGATGAACACAGGTGGTCCTCAAGTGTGTAGACCAGGGATCTTAAAGGCTTGCAGGGGCCAAATAGGTAACATGTGCTTGGTGGAAGACAATAGGGAGTGGTGGGGCCTGTGGCAAAATGGAGAGCACACGTCTAAAGGGGACAGCTGCAATCTGGCTCCAGCAGCAACTGCTGTGCAGGAATGCTGGGCCAGTGTTGCCAGAATTTCTGGGTTTTCAAGAGAAACCAGAATTCCAGGTTTTTTAAAATACAAAATCTCTCAATGTTTAAATGTTGACAACAAATCCAAATGTCTAAAAAGACTCTTTGGAGACCAAAGTAAATGCATGTACAGGTTAAATACTGCCTGCTGGACAGCAGTTTGAAACCTATGGTATAGACAACAGGGCAAAGTAATATCACAATACATTTACAGTCACATTAGAGCAGGTTGAATCTAGGCCCTGGCACAGCTCAGGAGGCCTGCCAGTAGCAGCCTGAGTTCATGGCAAGTTGTGCAATGCCAAGCAGTGCATCCCACCATGCAGTTCCCACCTGATGCCCAAGGGCAAGGGGTCTGCCCCAGGGGAGGAGCACCTCAGCCAAGCATGCTGGGTCTTGGTCAAGAGGCTCCAGGCACGGAAACTGGGGCAGAGCTGAAGTGATGAGCAGGGCCTGTTATCGATTCCAGTGCCCACATCAGCCTCCTCTGGTGAGGAAGGCAGGTCTAGGTAGACCAGGTTGGTGTCTAGCTCATGGCTGCTGTATGCCCCTTGCATCATCTCCTCCTCTATGTTCAGATAGCAGTGAGGAGTCCAGCAGTACCCACAAGCAGATGTCTACTTTGGAGACAAGCCACTCCCTAGGGCCCTGCCAGGGCTCAGCAGGCTTGATCTCAACCCTAGTCTCTAGAGTCTCGCCTTTCTAAACTTTCAACACTGCAGATCACAAAAGGAGTGAGTGGAGACCCCTGACCAGCAAGGCAAGCTCTGGGCTTCTGGACGTGAGATAGTGATTTCTAGAAATGCTTCCCCTTTTGGACTCACCCCCTCCTACCACCACCAACCAAGAGACAAAAGGCTGGGTGGGGACCACACCCAGGAGCACCCTTTCAGACTGAAGGGTCCCTGAGGGAAGGCACTGGTCTTGTGCCTCTCTGAGTTGTCCCCTCTCTCCTCTCTGGCCCCTGGCCATAAGGCCTATCCCAGGAGTCATGCACACCCCCTCTCGCCCATGCCTTTCCTTCAGGACCTGGGTGAAGAGCCACCCTCTTCCTACCTCACCCTCACTGGACTTCAGTGTGCCTACATCTGACTAAATCCCCACACCTTTTCAGTGTCTGGGCCTCCAGAATGGATTTCAGAAACTTCCCTTCTCAGGTCCAAACAACCAGGTCCCTGTAAATTACTTATGCTCAGGGTTTCCCGAGCACAAATTTCTATTTAAAGTCATATAAATTTTCACCAGCTAATAAGCCTGGAGCTACAGGGCAGAATCACGAAGCAGAAAGAAACAAGCTGGCACCAGGGAAACATTTCCAGAACATTCCAGAGCCGGCTGACTTTAATTTAGAAACAGCTTTTGGCTATCGACATTCAGGTTTAAGGCACATTCCAAATTATAAGAAGCCCTGTCAATGGCAGGGAGCTGCCTTTATTCTTGTGGTTTTGCATGGAAGAAGGAACAGATGACTTTCTGGCTTTTTTTCTTTTCTTTTCTAAAAAGGAGTGAGTTTGGCAATAACAAAGCTCATAACACATTCTCACCAGATGCAAAGATTACCCTTAAAAGGTGCTCCCTTTTACTCCTCAGTGAGGACATGGTGTCCCCCCACCCGACCTCTCTCACTCAAAATATGTATGCAGGAAAGAGTCTTGTATGCATCTGTCTGGCAATGACTATAAAAAAAAAATGCCTCCAAATAAACATATAAAAACTACATGACTAAAACAAAGCCAAGAGTCTCAGCCACAGGCAAAGGAGAATGATTGCGTGAGTCAGGAAACAAAACGTCTACTTGAGAAGAGAGAAGCAAGAGGCTGTGAGGGGTGAGGAGGAAAGAGATCCTGCGGGAGCTGGAGATCAAGCACGTTATACGGAACAGGAGGAGCACGAGGAGGACAGGGCCAGGGCTCTGCGGACAGTCTGCAGTGGAACACCTGAGGGGCTATTTTGAGGATTTGTTAGAAACAGATGGACATTCCTTTGGCCTTTTCCCGGCACTGCCCTTGCCAGCAGGTGGACAGAAGTGAACCACCAGTCACCGCTCAGTCGTTGCCACCACAGATCTTCAGCAAAATCTTCCGGTAATCCCCTGAAGTGTCTCCCTGGTCACAGAAACAAGGAAGACATCAGTTAAGGGTGGCAGAGCTAGTTCTGGCCTCCTGGGTCTGGATTTCCTTCTGCCTCAAGTGCTCTGACAGAGAGGTAGGCCCATCCCAAGGAAATCCCCCAGCATGCTGGGTGAGGGGCTCACAAACTCAGCGTCACAGCTGGCACAGACCTTGGATAGTGCAATTCAGCCTCCCCAACCCTCTGTAAAAAATAGAAGGCTGCACTCACCCCAAGGACTAAAGTTAGAATTTGAAAAATAAAACCAAAAACATATTTAAACAGCCAAAAAAAACCCCTCCCCAGGGCTAACTAACAGTGGTCTTTTCACAGTGCACTGTTGTCGCACTAAATTGGGACTATACCGTAATGTAGTATTATGTCCCGCGCTGGGAATGTAATCTATTGTGAGACGACCTTCCAGCGGAGGGTGCTGTTATTATTTAGGTATCCAAGCTCACACTGATCTCTCCTCCATCTGAGCCCATCGCACTTTAGAAGCACGGCCCACGCTTAGAAAATTTCTAATCATTTCCTTCCTTGAGGGCAAGTCCATGAGTTCTTCAAGATGCCCACACAGAAGACACTTCGTGAATAATTACTAACTCTCTGCTATCAACAGCATCATTTTATAGCCAGGGAAATGGAGATTGGCTTCTCTCAATGATATGTCCAACATCAAACACTAGTGAGTCTGAAATCAGGACCTGGTCATGGTGCCTACAGTTTCCAGGTTCATGTGAGTTCAGAATGTAACTTTCAGACCACCCAGACTGGAATAAATTTTGTCAGACTGGCTCTGGCAGACAGTGATAAAAGAATGGCTAGTGTTTATGAGACACTTATTGTCACACAATATGCTTTACCTGGACTGCCTTGTTCAAGACTCACAATACTCCTTGGGGGAGCTATTAGCAACCTCGTCTTATGGAGGATGAAACTGGGGTTCAGGAAGGTTTAAAGAAGCTGTTTGAGAGCAGTCAGTGAGCAAGCAGAAAAGCCAGAACTGGGCTCTGAGCAGGTGACCCCAGAGCCGTCGCCTCTGACTGCCTCTCTATACTGCCTCCATCACAAAGCTGAGTGAAGGAAGCAGTTATCAGTGAGCCAGAGCTGCATTCTAGGGAGTGCTGGGACCCGAGTCTCACTGACAGATCCCAGAATCACAGGGTGGCTGGGACTCTGAAGGCCAGGCCCCAAGGTAGGAGAAGTCCTGCATATTCTCTGATGCAGATGTTTAGAATCTCCTTCCCCACCCATTTCCTGAGCAATGAATGTGCTGCATGCTAGGGATGTAGGGTGGGGGTGACAGCAGGGTCAAGACCCCTCCTGCCCTCCGGAGCTTACAATCTGTTTGGGAGCAACCAGATGAACCAGTGAAAACTGGAGAGCAAGGACAAGGCCCATAAACAAGACGCCCATATGGGGCAGAGACCAAGCCCATGGGAGTTCTGAGGAGGGAGATGTCAAGGAGACAGTGGAGGTGGCCAGGGAGGTCCACAGGCAAGTGGGACACCAAGAGGCAGCCCAGTCAGCCCCGAGAAGGTCCGTACCGAGATGTCGTGGTACAATGACTTGCCATACAGCCGCTTATATTCCATTCTGATGTCCAGAAGGTCAATCTCGCTGCGAGACACCATGATGCGAATCAGGGTCCGGTCCTTTGTTCCTGCTCCCTGAAGAGAGTCCGCCCAAGGGCATGAGCAATGGGCCTCCTCACCATCCCACTGTCCCACCTTCCCCAGGCACTCTGGCCCCCTCTCCACCCATGGGCTCTCTGTCCCCTTGGCTGAGGGGTGGCTCAGCCCATGCCTTCTATGCTGAGCCTTTGGTCCCTGAGACACCCCCACCCAGACCCTGCACATGAGATTTACATACCCTCATGGCCCTGTTGAGCCTTTCAGCAAAGAAGGCTGGGGTATTCTTGAGACATTTCACTAGAAGAGAAAAACAGAATAACTCGATCTGCAGAAAACTCAGTCCAAGTGGGCATAGAGTACACGAGTATCCTCTTAGGAAGCCAGATGTCAAGCACATCACTGTATCCATCTTCTTCTCCCCCATTCTCCAGGTTCAATTATCCATGGTCTTGCTCTATCTCTTTGGAATAGAAATATCCAGAGCCTGGACCAACCCAACCTCTTTCTTGGCAACCCACACGGTAAAAGGAGCTGTGTGGGGAGAAACGTGGACAGTGATGAGGCCCGTGTGCTGCTCAGATGGGAGAGGTGAGCTGGAGACGCTGAGACCCTCATGGAGAAAGGACGGCCAGGAGGAACAAAAGTCTCCCTAGACTTTTTAGGCCACGACACAAACAGTGAGGGACACACAGAGAAATGAGGAGGATTTTCCCAAGTGGGTATAAACCCTCCTGGGGGGCAGGACCTGGCCCATCAGGCCCTGCCTCATAGGGCAGGACCCAGGCACAGCAAGAAGCCCACCATCATCCTGGGAACTATGCCAGCTCTCCTCAGCAAGGGCCTGTTTCGCTGTTGCAAGGAAAAATCTTTCCATGTGTTTCCATCACAAACATCTGACAACTGCCTGCAGCAATGTATTTTTAGAGGAAACTTGGGAGGATATGAGTCATCTTCCTCCAGGAGAGCAGCTGGTTGCTGGCCCACTAATAACCACACTGCAGCTCCCTTCCCCAGAGCTGCGCCTGAAATATAAACAAGACGCCTCCAGGACGGTTAGGGTACAACTGCACAGGAATCCAGGCAGCACTTTGATTTGCCACCATTTGGGCATGCTAGATTTAGCTATCTTGGATCCTGTGTTTCTTTCACTGCACCACCCTCAACGAGAGGTTGGGTGAGCACCCTGAAAATTACAATACACACCAGTCTCCGGTGGGCAGGCAGGTAGGCAAGGCAAGCCCAAGACACCTACCCACGGCCAGCATGCCCTGCTCCAGGTCCCCAGACATCTCCCGGCAGATGCTCTTCTCAATATCTCGGCCTGTCATTCGCTGATACTCGTTGAAAACTAGTGGGAAGACAGAAGGGACCAGTTATAGACTGAATTCTGTCCCCCCAAAATTCATATGGTGAAATCCTAACTCCTAGTATCTCAGAATGTAACTGTACTTGGAGATAAAGTCTTTAAAGAATTAAGTTAAAATGGGACCCTTAGTGTGGCCCAATCTGACTGGTGTCCTTTTAAGAAGAGATCTGGACACACAGGGAAACGCCAGGGATGTGCACACAGAGGAAAGACCATGTGGGGACATGGCAAGAAGGTGGCCATCTGTAAGCCAAGGAGAGAGGCTTCAGAAGAAACCAAACCTGCTGACACCTTGACCTTGGACTTCCAGCCTCAAGAACTGTGAGAAAATAAATTTCTGTCATTTAAGTCACCTCGTCTGTGGTACTTTATTATGACAGGTAGAGGAAATTAATACAGGACACACAGTGAGGAGACTTCTGCCCCTTCCTCTCTTCCACTTTGCTCCCAGCACCCTGGATAGCCCTATTGACCATACCTTCCCAGCTCTCAATCAGCCAGATGCTTCACCCCCAAGTCGAGTGCACTCCCCTCGAGCTTGTTCATGCGGTCCCGTCCCCTCACCAGGACTGCCCTCACCAGGCTGCTTACCCCATCACACCATAATCCCCTGTTCAGGACCCCTACACACCGATAGCCTGCCCTCTCTTCTCAAATCCCCTACACTTCCAGTCCATGCCATTCCTTCTCCGTTGTCCATGTACCAGCCTTGTCTTTCCCAATCTGACTGAGCTATTGCCCACCCAGCACCCCCAGCTCACCCTAGGACAAGCTGAGCACCACAGGAAGTGGACTGCAGGTTCCTAGAGAGGCAGGCGGCACAATGAGACCTGGGTCCTAATGTTAGCTCTGACCCTGGATATAAATCCTTCTCCAGCCTCGGTCTCAGTTTCTGTCAGTGTTCTCCAAACTTCTGTCATCTGTATATCAGTGTCACGACTTCTGCTATATCTTTATCTGTCTTCATTACTTACTATTTGCTTCAGATCAGCTCCTCTTTTCTCCTAAGTCATAATGTTTGTGAAACCATGGATTTGATGTGCTACTTATATAAGTCTATACTCATTAAAATAAATAATGATTAAAATGAAAATACATTCACTCACGTTCCATCACAGTGTAGTGTAAATGTTAAAAAGTGTGCTGTGGAGCCAGACAGGTGGAGTTGAAACCTGAGCTCGGCCACATTACCAGCTAGATGACCTAATTTCCCGCCCCTGCCCTGGGCCTGCTTTCTCATCCACAGAATGGGAGAACAGCAGCACCTGTCTGCGTGTATGTATTACAAGACCTCGTGCACACACAGAGCAGGTGCCTAGGCTTTCACCTGAGCCACCCACCCACCCACATTTCTAAGCGTGGTCAGCATTCTCCGTCCTCGCCTGCCTCACACATTAGCTGTTCTGACACTGTTGGCCTCCAGGACTTCCCTTTCTCTGAGTGTTCCTTCTTAAGTCTCCTGCAACGGCCAGGGCCCTGTCCTCTGACTGCTGGTCTCCTCCTGAGAGGACCTCATGCAGTCCCAGAGCCTCAAACACACCTTCAACCCACTCACAGCTTCCAAACCACCATCTGTAGCCTGACCTCTCCTGATCTCCAGACTCATAAACCCAGTTGCCTACCTCATATCTCCAGCCTGAGGCTCCCAATTTCCTTCCCTCCTAAAGCCTGCTCCATCCACAGCTTCCCAATCTCAGTTGAGGGCCACCTCATTCTTCCACCGGCTCAGCGGGAAGGAATCCTTGTGTCCTCCTCAACCCTTCTTTCTCTCATACTCCATGTCCAATTCATCAGCGAACAGGGCCAGAATCCTACCCTTCTCACCACCTGCCCTTCCCACCTGGTGCTAGCCACCATCATTTCTCCACTGGATTACTGCAGCCGCCTCCTAACTGGTTTGCTGTGCTGCCATTGACCCCTTCACTCTTCTCAACACAACAGCCAGTGAACTTGCAAAATCTAAGTCAAATCACATTGTTCCTCCACTCAGAGCCCTCAACGGCTTTCTGTTTTACTCAGGATAAACAGTGAGTCCCAACAACTGTCAGCAGGGCCTCCTCCCATCCCTGACCTCACCTCCTACTACTCTCATTCACTCCATCTGCTCCAGCTACACCGACTGCCTTAACCGGTGCTCAGTCACGCTGGGAGCCCCCTGCTCAGGGCCTTTGCACCTGCAACTACTTCATGTTTTTAAAAGAAATGTCATTACCTCGGTGGACTTCCCCAAGCACCCGCCAATCCTCCATCATTCCCTATCCCTGTTTCCAACTTTATTATTTTCTCTAAAGGATTTACCATCTGGTAGGAATTTTATTTTTGTTTACTGCCCATGTCTCCAAACAAGAAGGTGATCCCCATGAGAGCAGGGATGATGTAGTGCTGTTTCCTACAGTCTCCACACCTACTGCAAGACCTGGCACACGGCAGGAGCTCAATTTGTTGAATGAATGAGTTAATAAACGTTAGTCTTATTGTTATGCTCATTTTTTATGCCACATTTTGGATTAGATGCTCTTGCGCTCTCTCAATCCTAACATTCCACATTCTAGCATGTAAAGATACCAGCCAAGAAGGCTCCCAGTTTCCCTTGCCTCTTCCTTTGCTTTCCTCCAGAACTCGATGCTTGCAGAAACTCGGGAAACCTACTGATAACATCTTTTAAATCACCACCAGGGGCTCTTTTAAGGAAGCGAAAGCCCCATGCAGAGCATAACTGCCAAGTGTTCCTGCAAGCTCTGTTTCCCACAATAATTCATCTGCCCTCATATACCTGGCCCCAGGGAGGCCCAGACTGCCTTACCTGCCACTAGGTGGGCCCGGCTCCGGGAGCACAGAACTGCATTGAACTTGGACTCATCTGTTCCCAAGCGGTTCTCCCCAGCTGCATACAGCTCCTGGACAGACAGAGGGGAAGATGGGCATGCGATACAGGCCTCGACCCAGACACAAGGCCCATGTCACCTGGGAGACCTGGGCAGAGTCTCCGGGCCCTGGAGGCCAAGAGGGAAAGGAAATGGGAGCAGCGCCTCGGCTGTGCTCCATTCACTGTGCCAAACTAGACACCATCCGCACTCCCTCACTGGGCAACACAGAGGGTTCTGAGGCTGGGGGGACTCAGGACCAGGAGAACCAAGACCCATTGGGGCCCAGACAAGGAACAGCTTTAACCCAAACAAGGGAGCAGCAGCACAGAGGAAAATGTGAATGAGACGCCTGGGCTTGAGTCCTAGCTCTGCTACCAACTTGCCAGGGGACTCTAGACAGGCCCCTCTAAGCCTCAGTTTCTCATCTCTAAAAGGCAAAAGCTGGATTAGATTTGGGGGTCACAAACCTGAAAGCCCAAGGGGGCCAGCTGGGTAACTTAAATGAGGCAAACAGGCCAGCTATAAGGCCAGGGAGTGGTAGGGACCAAGGCTAGCCACACAGAAGGGCAACTGATTTCTCAGCATCAGCTGAGAACAATGATAGAGGAATGCAGGCTCACAGCTGTCAGATCCATTTCTCATGAGAAGCCAGAAATCCAGATTTCTATGTGAAATTCCCCAATCTTTAAAAAGCAGCTTTCCTATCTAAAAGGAACACGTGAGACAATAACTATCACAATAATTGAAAGATCAGAGTGACAGATGTGGGATTTCATGGGTTAGGCACTTTCCCTGTGTTTCATTGCATATACCATTACATTAGCAAATGGGCAGAATCTGCACTTGCCTATTAAGCTTTTGAAAGTTTCAGCCCAAATGGCTCTAAAGTGCTCTCCAGGCCTCAGATAGCAGCTCTTGATGGAAAGGCACTGATAGGTGAGAGCAGAAGATGGCCATTGGGGGCACAGATCAAGGAGAGGCCGAGCAGGTCCAAACCAAGAAGGCAGAGCAGTAGGCAGGAGACGTTGAAACTGAGGCAACTTCTGCCTCAGCTAGGAAACGGCCTCTATAAGAAATGGGAAAAGCAACACTGGAGCACGAGCCAGAGCCTGGGAGCTTGGGGACTGTCCAGCCCTGAGTTCACAAATGAGAATGGATGTCTCAGGCCAGGGAGATGTTAACTGAGGCAGACCCTGCAGGAGGGGTCTGGGACCAGGGGTCTGTGTGCTGCCTGGGCAGAGAGAACAGAGCCAGGAGTTGGGTCCTTGTCCAGGCTCTGCCTCCAGACTTCCCTGGGCACAATGCTCAACCTTTCTAGCCTCAGTTTCCTCATCTGGAAAGGAAATGGACCAGATCAGAAGAGTAGCTCTCTTCCAGCCCTGACACAGGGCACTCCACAGAGGTCCTCTTCGCCCTGATAGAAAGCAAAGATAAGGAGACCACTGGCGGTGCCTGGTGAATGCCCTGCCACGGGTGGCAGGAGTAATGAAGGGGGAGAGAGAAGTATGGCCAGCTCCCTCCCACCAGGAAGCCATGGCTCTCTCCAGCCAGAACCACTATGGTCTGAATTCATTAGTGGCAAACCCAAACTCCTCTAGAGAGGCACTCAGATGCCTGGACAAAGAGAGGAAATGGCAGGACACTTTTCATCTTTTGTCTGCAATTCACACAAGGCTGGGGACAAGGGCAGAATTCTAAGGCTACACAACTAATGGGACAGGTGGTTTCTAGGCTCAAACCTTCAAAAGTTTAACAGGCAAGTATGAATTCTGCCCATTTGCAAACATAATGGTATATATAAGCAAACCCAAGGAAAGTACCAAGTCACGTGAAATCTCACATCTATAACTATGATTCACCAAGGACTGTAATATTTATTATCTCCCACATAAGGGAACCTCTTATTGGTGGGGAACTATAACCTAGAGTGGTTGGGTAACCTGTTCAAGGCCACATGGTTGATAAGTGGCAGGGACTGTATGAAACGCACAGCATCTGGATACTCCTTATCTGTTGCTCTTTCCATCCCAGAACTCCTCCCTTGTGAAGCAAGAAAGTAGAGGACATCCCCACCCCCCGGCTTAGGAAGCCAGGTGGCGTACCTAGCCTGGCCATCACACTCACCTGGACATCTCTCTGGACAAGCGACATGTCCACATTTGTGCTTTCATCCCGGTTTCCCTGAAAGGAAGCAGCTGTATGGTCAAGCCCACTCCGTGGAGTTGCACACCCCTACCTCCCCATCCCTTTTCCTCACTGCTCCAAGATCCACGCCTCTCTGAGCCCCAAGCTCTATTGTGGGAAAGGTACCTGAGAGAGAGAGATAAGCAGCCGCTGAAAGTGCCCTGATGTGTCACTTCGAATGGCTTCCTCCAGGGTCTTTTTGAATTCTGAAAGGGAGACACAGGGAAGGTCCAGCTTGCAGCCACATGAATGAAGCTGCCCACTATACATAGTCAACAGTGGGCAGTGGCAAAAGAAGGGCATGGGAGTCCTGGGCATGAAGAGACAGGCAGCCCACACAGCATCCTGGGACATATAGTTAGAGATCCAGGAGGGGCTATGACCTCCAGGCTGACCTAGCCTCTGGCCAGTCTTGGCCCAAACCACACTCAAGATATTTTCCCCAGCTCTCCCTTACCTTAGTCACCTGGCCTGTGTGTAAACAGCAGGCAAGGTTGGGTCCTGGATCAAAGTCCAGTGCTTGATGAGTGGCAGATGAAGAGATAAGAAGGCCAGGAGAATAGAGACCCTGGGAGAGGGTGTGGCCGAGGCCCAGAAAGCACAGGAATCAGCAGAGGGCAGAAGGCCCTGGGGGCCAGTCTGACCTGTTTTGTAGGCTCTGCTCAATTCCCGGATGTGTTCGTTGCTACGGGAGGCGAGGATCTCAATCAGGCAGGCCTCATCGGTGCCAGCCCCCTGTAGTGGCCGAGAACACAACAAGCCACAAGCTTATAATAGCTCCCTCACTGGTGCCCAGGAAAGAGAGCAGGCGCCATGCTGCTGCCCCATCCCCCAGGGCACAAGCCCCAGCAACAGAAGCCCCAAACACAGGGACACCCCCAGAGGGCTGCTGCCACCTGGGTCTGCAGCAGCCAAGCTCTCTCCACAGGCCCAGGCAAGTTCCAGATAATGACAGCAACATGGTGATGAGCAGAGATTACAGGATCATCCCCATTCCACCCACCAGGAAACTGAGAACCAGAAAGGTATAGTGACTTGTCCAAGGCCACACAGTAAATGGTGGGTTGAGATGTGGACCCATATCTGTTTTATTCCAAGTTCAGCCTATGAATGAGATGAGAAAAACTGAGAAACTGGGTTTAACACAAGAGAGCAGACATGTGAACAAACTAGAGTCCTAGAGTGAACTGTGGAGCATCTGGAGACATCCAGGAAAAGGTAGAAACAATGAGGATGCAGAGACGACCATGTCAGGGACAGTGAGAAGGTGGAGGACAAGGTCAGCAGCCAGGCTTCTATGTTGGTTTGAATCTCGGCTCTGCCGCTTACTAGTTGTATGACCTTAGGCACGTTACTTAAGCTCTCTGTGCCTCAGGTTCCTTGTCAATAAATGGCAGTGATCCTAGCACCTACCTCACAGGGAAGTCATGCAGATTAAATGCGTTACATACGTAAAGCACTTAGAACAGTGCCTGTCACACAGGAAGCACAACAGAGGGTTAGCTATTTTTTTGATTACTGCTACCATTAGATTACTTAGGGTTTACAAAGAGCTTCCATTAGCCACCTTGCTCAGTGTTCACACGTTCCCATTTTACAGATGCTCAAGGATACATAGGTAGTTCGTGACAGCTGCCCCTGTGATTCACCAAGGGCTATAATATTTATTATCTCTCATATATAAGTGAACCTCTTATTGGTGGGAAACTGGAGCCTAGAGTGGTGGGGTGACTTGCTCAAGGCCACACAGTTGATAAGCAACAGGGACTGTATGTTGTTTCCAGCACTCCACAAACACCACCACCTCATGAAGCTGGCTGGGGGTTGGGGCTGGGCAGAGGGCTGGGGGCCACTGCTGGGGTCCCAGGCCATTGCCCTCCCCAAACGCCTCCTGACCTCCTCCCTAGAAGAAAGCATGTAGGTGTGTTTTAGTGGAGTCACAGTGTGCCCACCTATCAGGCCTCAAAGAAAAGGTGGATTCTTTTGGAGCATCTGTTCGATTCACAAGAATTTCCCCTTCTGTGGGAGCTGCCCTCTCCCCATCCGGTGGATACCTGCTGTGGGTCTTGGGAGGCATGAGACTCTCCAGAATGGTCATAATCTGCCCTTGGTCATAACCAGCTGGACTGGGGGAGATAGTGAACCCAAACTAAGCCAATCAGAATCTGCCCCCTGTTTGGAATTTGGAATGAGGGGACAGTGGTCTCTTCTGTGGCTGGATCCCTGAAAGGTAAATGGAGAGGGGTCAACAGGGATCCTCTGCCAAGCAGACATAAAAAAAGCAGCAAAGAAGTAGATGAAGAATGAATTGGACACTCAAGAAGAAGCAGAGACAAGAGGCAAACCCTGCCTGGGTCCCATCCCTCTCCACACCAGGCTGCTAGTCTTTATCCCCATAACTGATTCTCCATCTTTGTTCTGCCTACACTACTCAAGAGTGTTTCTGTTATTTGCCAATAACAGAGCCCTAATGAATGAGGATGACATCACCCATGCCTCATACCCCTCTTCTTTTCACTGCACCACTAGCTTCCTCTACAACCCCAGCCTCCACTATGTTTTTAAGATGGAGAGAAACTTAGATGCTCCCTGATGCTGAATGACACCTCATCTGCCTCTTGGGGAAGTCACCGCAAGTTCCCCTTTCTGTAGCACTTAGACTCCAACCCAAAAGGGTCCAGAAGCCACAGTGACAACAGTAGCTAATGAGCAGGCTAAGACACATCACGCCATCCAGGCCTTCTCCTGGGCTGTGTCTACACATGTGAACACAAACACACACACATTACACACCTTGATGGCTTCCTTTATCTCATAAATGTCAAAGAGGATCGGGGTCTTCATCAGAGCCAAGATTGTCTTCTCAAAGTTTCCTGACAGTTCAGATTTCAGATCTTTGATCAAATCCTGATTGGATATGCAAACAAACAAAAAACCCTACTTTGAGAATCCACAGAAGGTGATTAATAGGGACAATATCCCAGATCCGAGGACCCGCAGCATCAACAGAAAAGCCAAACCCAAGGCCCCAGCCCAGACCTGCAGAATCGGAGCCTGCATTTGAACCAGATTCCAGGGGATCTAGGGCACATTAAAGTTGGAGATACTCTGGGCTAGAACACTTGCCTATTCAATATCTACTGTTTTCACCTTTCTAAGATTCAAAAGTTCAAAATACAACCACCTTGCCTTTTCCTTCAAAGCTCTTCTATCAGCTAAACTTCCTCAGGTGGTGGTGAAGAGGGCAGGGAGAGCAGCCTGGGTTCCAGGAGGAGACACACCAGGTGGGAGTGGAGAGGAAATGACTTGCCCCTGGTCTCAGTGAGTCATGGCAGACGCAGGGCTAGAACTCGGATCTCTGGGCACCTCTCATCAAACCTCAAGTATCCTATGGACTGTGAGATTTCTCCCTCAGAGCATCCTTCACCTCTAGAAGACACCATCAGCTGAGAGGCCACTGGCCAGGTGGACAGCAGGAAATACCCTAATACACCTTATGGTCCATTCCAGGAGATGGAAGCCCCCCTCGGCCAAGGAAAAGCTAGAGTGAGTAGGGCTGGCTGGAGACTATGCCTTGATTTGCGAGGGACCACTCCCCTACCCACAAAACACATATACACACAGACTCACCTTTCCATAAGCTGTCTTGAAGGACAGGAGGATCTGCTGTCGCTGCTTATTGGAACGACTCCCCAGGCAGTCAATGATGGCCTGCTCATCAGTCCCTGGAGGAAGAAGAGGTGGGAGCGGGCAGGGCCGGGGGTCGTGGGCGTGCTCTGCAGCTGGAGACTTCCCTGGTCTGGGTCCTCCAATTCTCCTGGGCCTCTCAACTATACCCCCATATCCACCTTCTCTTCCACCACCCCTGGTGCCAGGCTGCCTCCACGCAGCAGCCCCAGCCCACAGAGCCATGTGTAACTACCTGGGGAATCAAAGGGCAGTTAGCATTTGAGCCACCCAGGGTCTCTCACCAAAGCCTTTCATAGCCTTCCGCAGGACCTCAGCATCTCGCAAGGGGTCAAAGGCAGGAGCATCTGTGATGGTGCCTCGGTTTCCAAACTGCTCAGACAAACAGACTTAGGTGAGATGCTGCATCCCCCAGATGTGAGATTGCCCTACCCCAGACTCTGGGAATGGCCCTTTCTCTAAAAGTTGGGGTACCAGAAGGAGCCCGCAAGCAACAGTGCAGAGGACTCTACATGGAGTTGGACTAACATAACCATTATCTGTCCTCGTGTCCTGGTACTGAAGCTTCTGCTTGGCTCTCTTGGCTAGGAGCCCACCTCTAGCTGAGTCCTGACGCTGAAAAACCTGCCCAATGCCCAGGTCCTCCAGGGCTTGACCTGGGTTCCTGATGAAGGGGAGGCCTTGGAAACAAGGGGCACTGGCCTCTTTCAGTGCCTCACCACCACAGCACACGAGAGCACATATCAGGGTCCTTGTAACAGGGCCTGGCTAGTCCATGGAGCACCTTTGTGTGAATTAGAAAAAAGTGCTCCCTCTAGGGGAATGAAGGTACCCGATCTTCACAATGGTACATGTAGCCCGACTACCTCTTAGACTAGCACTGGTTCCCTGGCACTGTTTTCTAAATTCTGTGACCTGTGTTCCTGCCGGACTTCCTCCTGACACCAACAGCTGCACTCCCCAGCATACCTGAATTTTCCTGCCTAAACTGTGTCCTGGTGGATTATCTTCTGTGGCTAGTACAAACTGGTTATAACACAGTTAAGGAGATAAGCTCAGAGGAAAGACAAGGCAGAAGGCAGGGAGGGAGACAGCAAGCAGGGCAGGGGTGGGAGAATGTGTGGGGGTAGAGGCAGGAAGGAGAGGGGATCCTCTGTCTAAAAATAGTAGTCAAACACATACCACTAGCCTTGGGCTTGGCTGTTTGGCCACATAACCATGACAATGAATTCTAGGCTCTGCAAACATGAATTGCTCTTCAAAATGAGCCAAGAGCAGCACTGAAAGAACTGCCAACAATCTTCCCTACCCAAAGGAGGTTTTAAGAATCCTCTAAAACAAGCCTGGAAAGGCACATCCAAGGGACTAAAGACTAAGAGCCGTTGGGCATAAAGCCTGGAGACCAGTGGCCCAAACAGTTCTTACAAAACACAGAGCCCAGGCAGCAAATAACACAAGAGGAATGAAGGGTACCCTGGGACGTTCAGACCCAACTTGCACACAGAACATCTAATCAAACTGGGAGAAACCAGGCAGCTCCCTGAGGTCTTCAGAAATACAAACCAGGGTGAGGAGTCTTTGAGAAAGTGACAGTCTGTTAAAACAAGAGGTTATAGCCGAAGGACTTAGCTCTCCCTTGTACCCTCCCTGGCCTTGCTGATAGAGGACGCTGAGCCACACGTCTCAGGCCTTTGGGGCCCAGGCTAGACTGAGGGTAGGGCAGGGCTGGCACTCACCTGGGCTGGGGACACAGCAGGGGTGACAGTCCCGGACCCTGAGTATCCTGGATAACTTGGCATGGGCTGCTGCTGCTGCCCAGGAGGTGGCATTGGTGGCTGTCCAGGGTAGGTCATCGGTGGCTGCCCAGGGTAGGCCCCTGGGGGCTGCTGCCCAGGGGGCGGCATGGGATGGCCTGGCACAGGAGCCCCTGGATATGGCGGATATGAAGGCATCCCGGAGGGTGGGTTTCCTCCAGGGGGCGGGTACATTCCATATGGAGGCTGCTGGGTGGAAGGGGGTTGCCCAAAACCCCCAGGGGGCACCGGAGGGTAACCACCCCCAGGGGCCCCAGGGTACAGGTTGGGCATGTTGGCTCCTCCGAATGTCCCAGACATGTTGGCTGCCTGAAAGTCCACAAAGCAGAGCCTAAGATTAATGGCCCCTGCTGAGAGAGCCACACTCTGCCATCTGCCCTTCCCTGCCTTGAGCCCTGCAGTGGGCTCTCAGGAGCCACAACCAGAGCTGGAGCAGAGTCTGAGCACCAGTGGCTTCTCAGCAAGGCCCACCTTGACACTGTTCCACATCCCTTCCACCTGTACTGCTGATCTCCTGACTTGCTCTAACACCACACCATTTAATTATGGCTACTACCTGTCTCCTCCCAGTGGATAAGTACTCAAGGCTGAGACTTTCATTTGTTTTATCCACATATCCCCAGTGCCTAAAACAGATCTGAACAAATCAGACTATGCACTGATTGCACTGTTTACATAAAGCATACACTTGTTTTCAGATTACAAAATACACTATTTTAAAAGCAAATCAACAAATAAAAGTAGTATGCCTGTCCATGCTACCAGGCACCCGCTCCCAGTCCCAACCAGAATAGCCATCCATACAGACATACACAGGCATGTGAACATGCATGTACACAGCACATGCACACACATACACATTCTCACCTCCTGATCCTATGCTGAGCTCATACAGAAGGTGCTCAATATATATTTCATGAAGGCATCACCCCTACCCAATCCCCCAGGGCTGAAAGGGACCTGAGAGACCACGCAGCCAAGGCATTCCCCTTGCCCTCATTTTACAGGTGGGAAACGTCAAGATGCAGAGAGGGATAGCAAGCAGGTGAGAGTCCCTGATGAAAACTCTTCTGTCCTAAGATGCAGCTCAATACACTCAGCACCCACAGGTCACACACACACAGACACCTCTGATGCCATGGAAGCTAGCAGCCTCTAGCCATGCAAGTGTGGCCCCAGCGGCAGCCCCAGCAGGAGGGCTGGACTCACCAGTCCTGAGAGGTAGTCCTGGTTGAACTGCCCTGTGTAGTTGGCCACATTATCCAGCCCAATGGGAGGCATGTTGGGTGGGGGGTAGCCAGCACCTCCCCAGGCACCACCACCTGAAAGCAACACCAAGCCCTTTAGCTCCTTGTTGGCCCTCCAACAAGGAAAGGCAGAGCATCAAGCTCCCAGGGGTTCAGAAGGGGAGACTACCCAGGGAGGGCCTTGGGGATGGTGCTACAGACCATACAGAAAACAGTCAAGAAAGTCTAACCCAATCCCACTGCCAGCGGAAGAGAAGAGGGAACCTTCTCCTCCTTCCGGGGAGGAAGGTGAGGTTCAGCAAACACCCCCACGACCCTCTGTGGGGTATTAAGGAGTAGGAGGCCAGGGACAGGCTCTGCTTTTAGGAGCCTAGGGGCTCACCACAGAGAGGGAGTGCAGACACAAGAACAGGACAGTGTCATTTTAGGACACTGTACTGAGCCCATGACAGTGGGGAGCTCAAGGAGCACCAAGAAACCAGAGGCAAAAGCATGGCAGGGGGCAGGTCCTGCCAAATTGGCTGTTTGCTTTTAGGAGTCTGTAAGAGGCAGGGAGAAGTAGAATGAGAGGATGGAGGGAGATGGGGCTGAGTCACATGTCCTTGTGAGGGGACAGCAGTGAAAAGCCCCAGTTCTGAAACCAGCAAGACAGGGGTATGCGCCCCGGGGCGATGCCCTCAAACCCTCTGGTTCAGTTTCCTCAGCTGACAAGTGGGGATAATAGCTAGCATTTGCCTCAAATTGTTGTGATGAGGACTGAGAGAGCTAATGCCTGTGCAGGGCATAGCTGGGTGCCCAGTGAGTGTTCCTATGTTACAGTTGTCACTGTGACAAGCAGTATGGCAGTGAGCATCATCATGTGAGCTGCTTGCCTATGAGATGCATTCCTGTCCATGGCAGTGAAAAGGCCCAGGGGACCTCGAGTTTGGCTTTTCAGCTCCAGGACTCCGGGACAGTCAGGACAGAGCCTCCTAGGAACCACCTGCCTGCTCCCTGTCTTGCTGCTCAGAGGTAGAATAGCTGTGCTGACAGAGGTGGCAGTGGTAGGACACAGATGGTACGATTCCTACTAGAGAGGGGACTGAGGCTAGTGCTGGCAAATCTGGGCCCGGGCTTGTTCAGAGGGAAATGTCCCAGCTCAACCCCTGATACACCCTGTCACAGTGGCGGAGCTGCACCTCCCCGCTCCACCTGTTCTTCACCTGTTGAATGGAAGGGCGGATCCAAATGGCCTGCAGGGCCATCAGTGCTCAGACTCAAGGACCTCAGTTCTAGGGAAAAGAATGTGCCCAGTGGTCTCATGGGGTGAGGGGCAGCACAGCTCAAGCAACCTCAGGATGACCTGGAATGGTATCTCTTCTCCCCCTTGTCCCAGGAGCCCTCATTATTTCCTTTCCTACTGTGGGGATCAAATCTCATTTCAGGAACCCAGGAGGGGAAAGGGCCAGAGAAGATGCCTTCTAAGTGTGAAGAGAAGCATTGTGGCTGGGGCCGGGATCCAATCGCCTGACCGGCTGGTGCAGCCTCATTACTATTGGCCCACAGCTTCTTGCAGCCTCAGCAGGAACATCTGACTCTTAGCAACTGCCCCCACTTCCTCCCCTCGGCAGGGAGAACCCTGCCGCTGCAAAACCATGCACCTTGAGCACAGGGTAGCAGAAGTGACAAAGGGCAATTGTCACCTAACAATGCTTCGGAGGACACCGTGCCAGAGGCTTTACCTGGCTATCTCATTAGTATCCGGGACAGCCCAGGGAGGGAGAGATCCTTGAAGCCATTTGCAAAGGAGAAAACTGAGTCTCAGAGAAGGGAAGCCATTTGCCCACTGCTATCAGCTAGTAAGGCAAGAGACCAGGTCCTGGCCTGGTTCTAGACTTCCAGAAGCAGCTTGAAACTCAGGCCTCTCCTGGCCTCAGCATCCATGCTCTTCTCCAGTCCCTCCCCAACCTGGCTGTGCTGTGGGAGCATGACAGGAGTGAGGAAATGACTGGAAAGCACTATTCCTCCTCTACTCTCTACTGCTGGACACTAAGCAGAGAAGGCATTCCCACTCCGGCCCACCCCAAACCCTCTTACCTGGTGCAGCTGGGGGATAGCCACCTGTGGGCGGGGGAAAGCCAGGGTAGCTCATGGTTAGATCTGAAAAGGAAGAGGAAAGCGCGCTCAGGCTTCGCCAGGAGCTCCCACCAGCCTTACTGGCGGCTTCTTTGTAGAACAGCAACACCCACAAACCGGTGCCCCTCTTGTATCAGGTGTGACCTGTGGCAACCCAATTTATCCTCTACCTGCTGGGGCCTTCAGCTAGAAATGGCAACCAAGGTGGGCTCATCTTCAGGGTCAGGCTCACGCCCACACCCCACTATAGGATTCACCACCCACCAGCTGGTGGGTTTCCTTGAAAACCCCTTTCACCCAAGCTTCATTCCCACCGCTGCTGACAAAGGATGCTGTGTTTGTGTGGAGCTGTTCTCCAACTTCAGAAGATAGCCTCATGCTCAGGGGTCCAGGTCTGTTTGGTTTTATCTTCCAGTGTCCATATCACCCTCCATCGAACAGGGGAAGCCAGAGTCCATCTCCCTGTGCCCAACCTATAGACTCCAAGCTATCCAGAGCAGCCTCCAAACTGGATCTGCCCCAAGCTACACTTTTCATTCTCCAACCTCTGGTTCACCGGGCAAGGGAACCTGGTACAGTATGGAGAATCATTACTCCTAGAAGCAAGAAGAGACCTCAGGAGGGTTCATCTGATCTAGGATCCGGAATCATGGCAAGTGAGGCAGTACCATCCCATTTCTACAGATGAACCAGCTGGAGCTCAGAAAGGGTAAGTGACCTGCAGATCACAAGTAAGGGAAGAAGAAAGGCCTGGAACCCCCGGCTCTTGCCTGCTGGTGCTGAGTGGGATACCTGCTCTAACACACTCCCTCTGTATACAAATCCCTCTGCCGTGCCCCATGCCAATTAAACTGCCCAGGACAGCCACAGATCTGCCATGACACCAGTCACTCAGAGACTGTCATGCCACCTGCCTACTCTTGCTAATCAGTGGCTGCTGCAGTTTGCAGAGCCATCCAGTGATAGGTGAGGATATGTGAGGAAACCTGTAGGCCCCCTTAACAATCATACCTGCTGGCCCCAGGTGAGCTGCTCCTCCTTGCATGCTGGGCACCAACCCAGATTAGACCCATTGCTTCCCACACTGCACTGCACTAAAACCACCTGGAGGGCTTGTTAAACACAATAGTGGGCTCCACCTGCAGAGTCTGAGTCAGCAGATACAAAATTTGCATTTCTAACAAGTTCCCAGGTGATGCTGCTGGTCTAGGGACTCCACTTTGGGAACCACTGCTCTAAAGGCTGCTCTCCACCTACAAGATTCTAGTGGCCCTTCACAGCCACATTCGAGAACTGGGCATGTTGTTTTCAAGAAAGCTGAAGGATTTCCTTAAAGTGGCGCTGGTCCCCACAGGGTAGGCCTAGTTCTCAGCCCTATGGGTGTGGTAATTCGTTTTGGTCAGTGGGTCCAGAGGTGACTATAGGCAAAGCAATATGAGGCCAGATGATGGGCAAGTAACCTTGGAGAAAGCTAGAATTGGCTACCTGCGGTGTGTGCCAAAGCCCCTTCCCCTTGCCCATTGCAGTGAGGTGGTTGAGCTCCCCAGTGGTGCTGCCCTTGTCTGACTCATCTCCCTGTGGCTGGGTGAGCCGTCAGCAAAAAGCCCTCCCAGGTCCTGCCCTCAGCCTGACTCTCCTACCAGAACCCTCAGACCTCGCTGATGAAGAAAGAGCCTGGAGATTTAAAGGATGGATGGGCCAGGAACCTTCCGATGGGAGGAAGAGGCACTCCCCTGCAAAGGAACAGGGTGTGCGACAGTTGTTTTCCTACATCTCTGTCTCTGGAGACCACCACTGCACAGAAGCTTTGGTCACCAAAGCCCCTCCACCCACCCACTTCTCGTCTCCTCCCAGAGCAATGAGGCCAAAAGGCCTATCCACAGCCAGGTGGGGAAAAAAACAAAAACCAAACAAAAGCTGGGTACCATCCTGTTCGATACACCAAAATAAATTTCAGCCAGACCAAAGATTTAAACATAAGAAGTGGTCCCAAACCGCAAAAACATAAAATTAAAGTTCTGCATAAGAAATAAATAAGGAAAACAACTTAAAAAGAAATGACAAATTTAGGAAAAATGTTTTATGATAAGAAAAAGATCAAAAACTACTAGAGAAACTTAAATGATGGGAACAGGTAATTACAGAAAAGGAAGTAAAGCTGTTTACCCTCACTAATACACTGAGAATTGCCAGTCAAAAATACAGACATCAAAATTAAAAATGACACTCTTTGACCCAGAAACTCTACTTCTGGAAATGTTTCCCAGACACACACCTGTGTGAAATGACATACACACATGAATTTTACTGCAGCATTAGCTGTTACAACCACCAACACCCCCTACATATCCACCTGTAAGAGGCTGGTTAAATAAATAACAACAGATCCATACAATGGGTACTCTGAAGCTGTTTTCAGAATTAGCCAGCTCTACATACAGGGACAGGAAATGATCCCCATTATTAATCAAGGTGCAATACTAAGCTGACTTAAAAAAATAAAACAAACACAAACTTAGTGGGGGGTGTGTGTGTGTATATATATATATATATATATATATACACAGAACCACAGAATCACCCTGGAATAAACAAGAAACTGGGTAAACTGGTTGCCTAGGGAGGAGAAACCTGGGGACAGAAATGAAGCTTACTGTTTATATTTGCATTTTTTGCCACATACATGTATTGCCTGTTAAAAAACAACTTTAAAAAAGGCCCAATTCAGGTGGGGATTTCTGGGCTCACTTGAGGCCATGGCTGTCCTTCTAAGGTTTGAACAACTCACACAGGCTCATTCAGTCCAAGGCAGCGGGCTCTGGGTCTGGGGTTAGCATTGTTACATAAACATACCATGGACTCAGAAATGGAGGCACTGCTAGTATTCCCCGCCCCAGACAGGACCACAGGCCAGCCTCTGCGGCTCACAGGGCAATGGCACTGATTCCCAGGAGTGCTTCACAGAGTTCTCAGCAAGAGTCAAAATCAGTCTCCTGGTGACTCTGGTTTAGCTCTGCCCTGAGTGCCCCACAGGCCGGGACTAATCCCATGTCCAAAGAGCAGCCCTTCATCCCTGGGTCTTCCCCTCTCCCCAGGAGACCACCTCCAGTCTTCCCCTCTCCTGAAAAAAGTCTCATTTTTTTCCACCAGTTCCTGCCTGAAATAGTTTTCAGCCTGCAGCCCACTCCCTTTCTCTTTCTCTGAAAGCTATCTTCAGAACCAAAGGCCCCAGGTGTGGTCTGAAGAGTGCAGGACCAGGCGAAGGGCAGGACCATCAGCCCACTTCTCCCCATGGGTGTGGCTCCCAGCCCCTCTGGCTTGGTAACTCTTGGGTGTTCAGGACAATGAAGACCTGATGCGGATCCTTGTTAAATTTCTCCCTTAAGTTCTGCCCGTTACTCCAGCCTACTGAGATCTCCTGAGATTCTGACTGACATCAAACATCTTTGTGCGCCCTCTCAGCTTTGTTTTATATCTACCAATTTGGTAAGCGTGACATGCGTTCTTCCAAGTAACTGATACAGAAAGGGCCAACGACGGACACACCCCAGCTCGACAACAGCGGGTACAGGCACTCAACCAGCTATCTGGCCACCTAACTCCACCACGACCCAGCGCACATTTCCCCATCTTGTTCACAACAGTATAAAGAGGGCCTCCTCCAAATTAGGATTCTAACACATCTCCCATGCCCAGAGCCCTGCAGTTCATTTGCCTAATAATCCCCAGGAGAAAAGCAAATGCAGCCAAATAACCTGGGGCAACCTTGGGATGCACCATGTTGGCTCCAAGTGCCTACCCAACCCACCCACATCCTAGGGGACTTCAGACATTGCATACAACTCTTTAACTTGCAACAGCTACATTCTTCCCCCCTTTTCAGAAAATTCAGGAATCTGCTGGGCAATTAGACTTTTGGTGATGTAGTCTCTACAGAAGTCAAAATATAATGATGTACACTTGAAATTTATGTATTATAAACCAACGTTACTTCAATTAAAAAAAAAAATCTCATCATCCAGTCTTTGGGGAACTTTGGCCTCCACTTTTTCTCCAAAGAGGCCACCATCAGGGCCTGTTGTCTTTGGCAAGCCATTCCCAGCTAGGACAGGAGCTCCAGCAGGCTCCCAGGTGCCCCTCACCTTCCCCTCACGGCCTGTCCAACCCTCACTCTCCAGGACAGAAGGGGACACAGCGAGTTTCAATCCAGCAGATCTGCTTTCTCTCTGGCCTCCATGGTATCACACACGCACCGACCAATGCCTTTCTCCTACTTCTGTCCTTTAGCAAAGAAAAAGGGTGCCTGCATGGGAATGCGTCACACTGCTAATGCGATTCTGACAGGCTGGGAGATATCCCTGTTCTATGCTGGCTCTGGTCACGGCACTGCCACGGGGACTCAATGGTGAGAGCCTCCCGCACACAGCAGGCAGCTGGCCTCCTCAGGGATTACTCCAATTCTTAGAAACTAGCCTCCAGGGAACTTCCAGCCTCTGGCCCTACCCCTCTCAGGGCGCACTGCAGCAGAAATACCACCCTTCCTCACTAGGACCGTCTACCAGCAGCTGTGTGCCCAATTTCATCCAGCTGTGGCCCTCTCTGGCTAAACTGGTGATTCTCAAACTTCAACCTGCAAAACAATCACCTGCTGGGCTCGTTAAAGCGAGACTGCTGGGTCCCTCCCCTACAGCCCCTGAATCAGTAGATTTGAGATAGGCCCCCAAACCTGCATTTCCAACACACTTCCAGGTGATGCTGATGCTGCCTGACTGTGGACCACACTTTGGCTAGCACTGCTTCATCATGCATGAGAATCACCTAGAGGGCGCGCTCAGAATGCTGAGGCCTGGGCTCCAACCACTCTGGGCCCTTCAACCTGGGATGAGCCCAGGAATCTGAAATTAAAACAAGCGCTCCATCCCCATACCCAGCAATTCTGATGGAACTGATTCTGTGCTCCACACTCTAGGAAACACCTTTCCCTTCAAGGTACTTGGATACTTTCTACTTATACTGTCTAGCCT